CATCTTTTTTCTATATCTTATTTTCTCTTATTGCCTTTTTACCTTTTAGTCCTTAAAACTTAAATACTAGCACCAAAACAATGTAGTGTATATTTAATATGCCATTGTTATCTGTTGATTAAAGTGGCCGTGAGTTTTTTTGCCCTTTCTTCTCATGAGGCTCAACCCCTTGGGAATAGGCGGTAGTAGATCGGCGCACGCATATAAGAGATTTTCGATACGTATATATTTAGTTTCCTAAATATTTGACAAAAGAGAGATTGTGTGTTGATCTATGACTTAAGACTCTACATAAGAGACGATTTCAATTTTTTTTTTTATGAAATAAAGATACTTGAGTTTGAGTTTGGATGAAGTACTCTCGTCAATATGTACTTATTCACAATGATGATAAAAATATTCACATTTGATGTTCCAATAATGGTTCAGATATTATAAAATCGTATGCTGCTCATTTGCCCTGTGTAAAAAAAATATCCTACCATACTGTATTGTTGTTAGAAAACCCAAACACATCTTTCCATATATTTCATACCAAAATCAACAAAGAGTACACTCGTTTTTTTTCATTCCTTTTTAAACAAATACACGGTGGGTTGATTTTCCGTTTTTTATTTAAAATATTTTATGGGAGTGAGCTAAATGATTTGTAGAGGGTGTTTCCTTTGTATTTCATGCTTACACGTTTTTCATACTGCGGTGTTAGTTACATACAGCAGTTAAGTGTCAAAGGTCAGGTCTAGGTCATAAGGTCACCCTATTTTTTTATATGCGACTACAGTAGACACCTACACACATACTTGAAAACAGATGCAGATATTAACCTAAATTAGAGTTAATGGTATTTAACATAGTGACGGATTAAGAATACGGAGTGTCACCAACCCTATTCATCCAGTGGGTGTCGTAACTAATACAAATAGGCAACAAATAGGACTGCAAAGAGAAGGAAAACTTGAAACAAACCCTATACCAACCTGTCTGGCCAGCATGGTATAGTAGGCCAAAACCTCATTTCTAAGGAGGTGCCTATGTCCAGCAGTGAACTATTTAGGCTGTTGATGATGATGATGATAAACAATATATCTGTCATTTTTATGTTTGATACGACTTTATGGAAAATAGTGTACAAATAAAGAGTTTTCTGTCTATAAAATATTTCCTCAATGACTCTAACACTATGGAAACGAAATACTGTCTTCATATGAAAGAAATAACCCTCCTTTCTAAGGAGAGGCCCATGTCCAGCAGTGGACTGTTAAGGGCTGTTGATGTGATGTGATGTGATGAAAGAAAGAGAGATGTACTACTTTCTTTGAGAATGTAAAAAAAATAACCCTTGTGTCACAGCGAATCTTTGCATTAATTGCATGTAGAGTGTTCTATAAAACGACTGTTTTATAGAAAACCCTACATGCCAACCATGCACCTACTGAAATTTCCTTGTTCAAAACCTATGTACGAATTATATTATAAAATGTCCCAGTGTTTTATTACATTGTTTTTATTCCAAAAAGTGAACTGAACTTTGCCCTATAAATTCACCGTTGAAATAAAAATCTACAGCATCCATAAAAACATTTACTAGGTGCTATTTACAGAACCATTAAACATTTTACGGCAAAATAACTACAGTGTGAGCATAGGAACTCCAACTTGTCATATTAAACAGGCCAAGTAAACAATACGAGGGAAAAACAACAAATTGAAATATTTAAACAACAAAACTACGCTTTTACGCTTCCCAAAACGACAGTAGGGTTAGGTTAACAACGTATTTGGAGTTGTAAGTCTTCTTAACAAACATAGAAATACTATCAGTTAATCACCATCATTATTATCTCAGTCGAGAGACATCCACTGCTGGACATAGGCCTCCTCCAAGGTTTGCTCCAACAGCTAGTCCTGTGCTGTCCGCATCTAATGCCTTCCCGGACCTTCACCAGGTCTTCGGATCACCCTGTTGAGTAGGCCACTCACGCTGCGTCTGCCGGTACGCGGTCGCCACTCGAGGACTCTTTGACCCCATTGGCCATCATATCTACCTACAAACATGTTCGCTTGGTAGCCACTATTTAGATTTATTAAAAGAAATCGTTACTAAAATAAAAACCATATGCAATATGCAGGCTTTTTTATATTTTTTAACAAAACTGATCATCATTTTCAAGATGATGATTTTTCATAGTTAAAACTCATTTTCTACTAGATTATCAAAATATATATTTTTATTTGAGCTCTATATTTCATTATTTTATGAAAAACATTATCTCACTCAAGTGTTTATTTCGTGGATACCCTACTTTCGGGAGCGGCAGATGTAATGTTGTTTTCCTTGCGGGCAGACTGGCAGATGGCCGTTACGGCCACTGATACCAATACTGCCGTTTAATTGTCGTCTTAAATAATTGCTGACCACACTTTCTTTGTTTTATACGACGTGATCTTTGTTACATTTTATTACATCCAACTTTTGGGCTACCTCTGTGAGATTAAATTTTGTGAAGAAGAGTGATTTTACCTTTACCATTTATATTTAAACAAAACGTATTGAAATTCATGCAATTTTTACTGTTGATTTGAAAGAACATTAAAGGATCTTTTACCTGATTAGTTATAAAATGCATGGCTTACCTACGCATTATTAATAATAATTATTTACTTAATAGGAAAACTAGAATGGTTAGAAAATCGGCCAGAGCTTCATTGAAAGAAATTTCATAGTGAGGTTAGACAGTAGGCTAGTTCACTTCAGATACAATTTACATACATTGACCATACATTGATACAACCATAATACTCGTAGCCAAACCAGTCATCAAAACTCTGATGCCAGACTCTAGGTGCTATGAAACTGTAAAATCATAACTTATTACTAAACAAATACAAAACATTCATATTTAATGTGAATGTGTTTGTTTGTGTAATTGTTTTATTAATCCTACGTATTATCATTATGTCACGCCCTGACAACACGACTTAATAACTCAATTACTCATCATGAAATTTCACAAACACATTGAAACCTTTTGGTTAGAAAAAAGTAAAATTCCCGCTTGAATGAAATACTCGAATAACTTTCTCTCATGTGAAGCTGCCTGCAAAACCTTGTAGAAATATGAAACATATTAATTGTAGTGTATTTGCCGTGCCAATGTTACGATTTGCAATTACCTACATCAAAGGATGGCGTCTCCTTATTGTTAGGTGAACAATTAATTTGCAATTAGACTGTACGGATGGCGTGTGGTTTAAGCGGTCGCCACGCCGCTTACTACTACGCTGAGTGTTGTGGGTCCGATCCCGACATGGGACGACACTTTGTGTGATCCACAAATTGTTGTTCCAAGTCTGGGTGGTCTTTGTGTCTGTTTCATGAATGTTTATTAAGTCCCCCGCGGCACAGGATATATTCTTAATGCGGGAGTTGTCTTTTTAGAAACAAAATAAAAAGACATTATTGAATAATAAGATTTTTGGAATCTGAATTAAGGTTTCCATTAAATATTATAGTAAGCGCATTCTACTACACTGACCCTTTGACTGAACGGCTGCCCCAAATCGAAACACAGTGAGGGTTTTTTTTCTATAATCACTTTTTTGCATATTTCGAACTTCCGTAGTAAGTCGCGTCAAATTGTGAAGACACCTTTTTTTTCTTTTTTTTTCTCCTAAATCTTCTTATCCCCTAATTTTTTTTATAATATACGTTAATGTGTTAATACGTTAATGATTGACCCTTAAATTGTAAAACATGATTAAAAATATAATTACTGTTTTTCTTCCTTTCATGAGACAGTGTGAGTCAGTCAGTGAGTAATATCTCGTTATCGACTGTATATATTTTTTTAAATGCTATCTTACATCCTAAATATTCATCTTATTAATTTACTTATAAAAAGGTTTAAATAAAAAGGTTAATTACACTGATGAAAATAGTCTCTAAACAATCAGAAAGAATTCTAAATAGCTAATGAGAGAATGCCTCATGGCATTTTTACAACATGTGCATAAAGTTTTAATTAAATAAATGAATATGTATGTATATATAAGAAAGGTTTCTTTCATTTACTTTCCAATTTGCTAAATACCTAAGTTGAAAGTAACATCTTACCAATAACTTTCAAGTTTCATCTCCCTAAATAGAAATACTTGGGTCGGTAAATCATTGGAACTTTTAATGAAATTGATATTTCTGATGTGTTAGGGTTTCGTTAAATTTTATGTAATTGTTTACTGTCCGTTCTCATAACTTAAGTTTATTTATACAAGAGATTAAATAGAACTCTTTTATTACACTAGTTAAATATAATTCAATTCGATCTTCCTATTACAGTTTACAGCTGGCCATATGCCCAGGCGTGCCCATACGGAACTTTTCCAAGTCGGACTATCGTATTCGTGTATTGTTTGTGTTTCATTCCTATAAATAGTAATAAACAAACTTATACAATAATCTTTCCGTGGTGCAGGGTTTTTAATGATCTGTGTTGATAACAAATATTAATAAATAAATGACAAGGAATCAAACTTATCTTAATTACTCGCCATCAAATTTATTCGGCCAATGTTGGCGCGTCTTTAACGCGATTGTCGATGATGTCGATCTTTATGGAAATATTGTTGGGTATCTTTAAAATATCAAAAACTTTTCTTTTGACGAGTATCGAATTTTAAAGTAACATGAGTATTCTTTAAAAAAGTTAGAAATAGTTAGTTATATAAATAGTTTTAAACCATTTATATAAATGTACTACTCTTACGCAGCAGTCAAAAATATACGTCTACAAACAACAACAAAATATAAAAGTCATTTTATAAAAAGTATACCTTAAAGTTTACTACACCCAGTAGGTTTAAATTGACTCTTCGTTCATATTTACAACATAATAACATATCTTATTGATATTAAATATATGGCAATATCAAGACTTCTTAAGATAAAAAGTCTTCAACGTTTAACCTTCTTTTTTCAACTTAGTTTTTAAAGCATTACGAAACTAGTAACAGGTAGCGGAAGGCGGGTCCCACCACTTCTGAAACTGTTTATATACTGATATCTGTGTCATTTTCCTCTCATTATTTAACAAAGCACACATTTGACAGTATTCATCAGTTTCTACGTTTTCTGACATTCTGTGATATGAATAATGGTTTTTCCATTTGAAATAATGGGCATACAATTCAGGGTCTTGCATGAGCTTGTATATCTGATCACCTAACTTATATACGCCCAATTCTCGTGCATCCAAGTAGGAATCCGGTGGGAGAAACCTGTAAAATATTGTTTATGTTAACAAAAACAGCATAATATATTTATTTATTTAAACTATTTGCAAATATATAACGTAAGGCGGATTTAATAAGCATTTTTTCGGTCAAACCTTTTAGTGTTATGTATGGCAGGTGTATATTTAACTACTAACTAATCTCTATAGAGCTGGCATACTGTTAGTGGACATTCTGATTGATAGTAGGAGTGCATTGGAGAGATTTATAACTTAGACAATGAAGGAAGAATGAACCATTCTTTAAGTGTGTGAAGGGCAGAGAAGGAGAAGACTATTAGAAGATCGAAGTTTCTGTCATGGTTAAATTAGGCCGTATGATTTTATATAAGTATTATATACCTACTTCCAAATGTAAAAATAAGATTGTATGCCCTTCACCCCTATAAAACTTTTGCAAGTGAAATTGGGTCATGAACTTCAGCTATGTAAATGCCTAAAAATATTTTATGGTAGTTCTTGAAACTCATCTAATTGATCATGGTTTAGCTTTTAAATTAATGAAATTCTTCATTACACAACTTTATACAGACAGTACTGACTTTAAGGAGATAGTTACACCAGTTGTCATACTATTATCTTTTAGATGATAAATAGTCACAGCATCAGACGTTCTCTGTCTTATTATTATAATATTCCATTAGTCATAAGTTGATGGTTATGCTTACCGGGTATAATCAGCTCCTCCATATACAATAGGTATAGCATTATGTTGTAAGGGTATAAGCACTTTTTCAGTAACGTAATCTTCACTAAAAGCATTTTCAAAAGCCAAATAGAAGTAATAGTCAGTTTCTATCATTTTATTACACTCTTCTTCCTTGTCACGACCACATTCGAGACCCCCACATGCTCCATATATATCTATTTGTAAGCCATATTGATTTAAATACTTTTGAAGGCCCATTACATATCCTTCTCGTCTACTCTTAGTGATACAGTTAGAGACAAACCACGCTACAGCTTTCGTTTTACGCCTCAGTATTTTTTTCGTTACATTGTTGACGTCAGCCATATCGGACCAATTGAGCCAATTCATGTTTTTTCTTGGACCTACAATATCTTTATTAGAATCTCTTATTACAAAATAACCCCAACGCACTTCTGAATCAAGCTTGTAAGTCCAAGTCCAATTAAAATATCCATCATAATTTGCAGAACATAACGGGTAATTGTCAGATGATTCTATGCTTGCAAATACGTACTTTTGATGGTACAATCTTCTCTGGGGTAAGTTATTTGCATCCATGTCAATGATATCTGGTCCGTGAAAAGCAATTACATCAAACATACCAATATCACTCAAAAAATTTTTGTTGGAAGTGACCACACAATTTGTATGGATACAATTTTTAGAAACAAACACACTTCGTCCAATGCCCATATAATTGAATGGTATATGGAACGGGTCAGTCCATAGTAGAATATATTTGGTGTTAAAAAATGCACTCGGTAGAAAGTTCCATTTAGGTTTAAGGTATATAATATGTCTTAATAAAATAACTATTGTAAGTAAGCACATCACACGTAATGTTATTTTACTTGTGTTAAGAAAAGATTCCATTTAAATTGGTTTTTGAAACGTGTGAAGTAAAGAAGCTAAAACGTACTGTGAGACGTGATTAACTGGCAAAATTAAATAAATTACACTTTAATTATTATAGAGCGTTGTGTGTAGATAACACTCTACTGCTGCTTATTCACGGTAACTGTGTAAACTAACGACATTCTCGTATTTGTAGCGTCAAAGTGACGATTTCATACCCAATGGCAAGCAGTCGTAACGGCTTTTATGATTATTACACTATCGATAATTTTTAACACATATAAAACTGAACTACATGTTTATTCTATAACGTCTCAAACCTAAGAGTGCAGTGATGTATCGTTTTGGCATTATAGTACATATATATTTTGGTGTTTTATTACACAAATTTTGTACATGGCTGCTTTATATAAAACAAAGATCATTCACATTTATTTGCTAAACAGAGCTAAACAGAGACAAACAAGTATGCATAAAAAGATAGTTTTGAAATATTGTACAGTTCAATGAAGCTGATAAAAATAATAAAAGAAAAAATTAAGAAATACTAGTATTCAATATACAGACATTTAATGGGAAATATGTCAACTAAGTCGTTTGACACTAATGTTTAATTACATAACTGATCCATATTCTCCAGAACACATTTATAAGTGATATACAAAGTGCGCTCTAAATAACTTTTCTTTTCATAGTGTAGTGTACCGGTTAGATGATGATCCGTGGGGGTCACTACCCCCACAGATAATCATCTAACCGGTGCTAGTACTCAAGTAAGTCAAGTATGTCGGAATCGAGCCAATTAAAACTAAGAAGTAAACACAGGCGAGTTTATTGCAGTTTACTCTGTTATATCCTGGGAACAGGTTCACCGTAAAACCCGACAGACCTTAGCCGCCTCTTCAACAGTAGGCAGCCACACCCGTTTGAACTTTTCTTTTAAGAATATTATTGATTTATGATATGATACATACTTAATGCTAACAGTAGTGAACTTGCTGAACACAAAGGCTCACTTCTTTTTCTCACTTTCAGCCAGTTTTAATATATGCACGTGCACGTATAGTTGACAAAGATATCTGTGATTTTAATGAACTATTTACTAGAGAAATTGAAAAAAATAACGCAGAATAGATTGGAAACAAATATAATTCCCAAATGTACGAGTGAAGAAAGAAAACCATTCCGCATTCTCAGTTCAATTTTTCTAGTAATGGTTCATTAAAGTCACGAGTTCTTTAAAGCACGGACCAGATATTTCTATGGCCGTGTGTACGTATATACGAGTATCTTCACACGATATATATATTATTACTTTATGTAAATTTGACAAGTTGTTAATTAATGAGTAATTGTCGAGGGTTATTAGAATCACCAATATTAAAAAAACAGATACACTGAACAAAGTGCTACCGAGATTCGGTAGCACTTCACTAAACAATATAAAATAAAACCACCACATTTTCAGCTAATTCCTTCTTATGTGCTAAAGGGATATTACATGCGTTCCTTTAAACTAAAACTGGTTTTGAATAATGTAAGAAGTTACCTAAGTAATTTATATATATATATATATATGACGCGTATTTTATTCCTTATGACTGATGAATTATTATTATTATATCCTTATGAAGATTAAGCTATTAGGAATAGGGATGTGATCGATATTATATACACTCTAAAATTAATGGGGCGTAAGTTGATAAATTTCGTACCTAGTAAGTAATGAAGTAATATTACACCTGAGATAGTAATTAACATCAAGGGACTTGTGTTATAGGCTAGCTAAAATAGACCCTTGATATGCTCTGAAACGGTTTTAAATTAATTATTATATTAGTCGTTATTTCAGTGTATTTGTTTTAGTTTAGTTTTTATTGATACCCTTGTGAATTTATCGTGAATATTCCATTTATCTAAGGCTTCCATTTAAAAAAAAAAAAAATAGAACTAACAGCTTGGTCATTTTTTTCTTAAATTAAAAAGACAACGCATTAGGAATATATCCTGTGTCGATGGGGACTTTACAAACATACATAAAATGGGAACAAAGAACACCCAGACTCAGAACAACAATTAGTTGATCACAAAGTGTCGTGGTCGTAGTAGTAAGTGGCGTGGCGACCGCTTAAACCACTAAGCCATCCGTGCAGTCGAATTCGAACAACGCGGAGGAAACATACCAATCTGTCGAGTCACTTATCCTTTTCAGGTAATCAGTTCTAACTAGCAGGTGCGACACATCTTTCATTCATCATCATCAACAGCCTTTAATAGTCCACTGCTGGACATAGGCCTCTCCTTGGAAAGGAGGTTTAGAAAGGAGGTCTTACATTCACATATACTATATATAATCATCATCTTCCTACCATTTCCTTTTATTAGGTGTCGGTGCAATGAGTTTTCTTCTTTCATTCTCCTTGATCACTCGACATTCTCTTTCGTGTATCTCCTTCACAATAAATTACTAGGCAGCCATTTATCATCATCATCATCATCAACAGCCTTTAATAATATGGACGGGTTGGTATAGAGATTGTTTTAAGTTTTCCTTCTGTTTGCAGTGCTGTTTTCCTTCGTAGTTTGCTCTCTTAGTCGACTCTTACGACACCCACAGGATGAACAGGGGTGGTTTTCCATACGCTTAATCCGTCACCACACGAATTGGAGCCAGCCAGCCATTATCACATTCTATATATATTGCTACTAATTTGTTTAAGGAATTATTTTTACCTGAAAATAGATCAAGCAACAACGTAATACATATTTACATATTTTTGCCAGTATATATTAACTTGAAGGCCTTGAAACCCTTGAGAGATTGGTACAGTGCCGAGTTTACACATTTGCCGCTAGTAGGCTAGTCAATTCTTGCCGCCCCTACTAGCTTCAGTAATTCAATATCTTAAATCAAATTAAATTTATCACATTTTTTTGTCAATGAAATTGCAATTCTATGATTTGTGTACTATCGTCATCATTACATTAGCTTTTTCCTTTGCACACCAGTACCCAGTGGGCCTCAATATATACTCTATATAGTAAAATATAGTATTGTTTCTTAAATTTTCGAGACTTCTTTTCCTGTGCAATTTTTTTTTTCAAAGATAAAAAAAATTAGGCCAAATTTGCCGCCCTAGGCTCCAGCCTACTTAGGCTGTTGGTAAATCCGCCACTGAATTGGTATGATAAGTTACTTAACATTAACTTAACAGCTACCACTGCACCACCGAGGCAGTCAATTTATTTTAATATTTTCGTAGTTGCCCCAGCGAGATCTTATTCCAGAATATAATTTAGTTTTTTCATTTTCCTGGCGATAATCTATTTTGTATATTTTATTTACATAATTATTGATGTTAATTTTATTGCCACGGTGTTTATTTATTTTCACATGACAAAAATATTTAATAAACATCTTACAAATTACTCAAAGACATTATTGGTTGGTCGATTTTATGTTGTCGAGTATACATACTCGCATATAAGACGAATTGCGCACCAACTGTATGTAATGTTTACTGTTACTTGTAAATAAAAAAAAACTAACTTTGATCCTACTTCAGATAGAGAAAAAAATGTGTTTATTTTACTATCTTGTTGTTTTTATAATCTTTCAAGTACATTTGGTAGCTGTAACGACTAAGGCCTGGATAGGTTTTAATCAAAATAGAAGTAGCAAAGAAATTACGAAAAAAGTAATTGCGTGCGATACTGAGTGCCATATCACTGAATTGGTCTGCTGAAATAATCAAGTTGTTAATATTATGGTGTTAGGGGGCAAACAATCAAATGGGTCACCTGAAGAGGGAGGGGGGTCCAGTAACTTCCCTCATTCGCTAAAAAGTAAATAAAGAATACGACGGTTTTCTGTGAGATCACTGGTTTAACTATATTCATTAAAATTAGTCGAGTCAACATTGTATCAATTCTTAACACCTGGCTCAAACTGTAAAGTGTACTTGGTTCAATACTTACCAAACTGTCTTTGGTACAATAAACGTAATATAATGCTGAATAACTTACAGGTGATATCTGGGGCGGTATACTATGGGGATCTTGTGTCAACTAGGAAAATTTTCCGCGCGTTTAGGCGATTCTTTCATACATATTATAGAAATCAAATATTAGGACCCACTAACTCACTCACTTAGGACCCATAATATTTTATTATATTTAAAAAAGGTACGCCTATTTTAATTCATTTTGTCTCCCGCTTCGATGAGGAGGGAAGTGCATTTATTATATTTCCAACTTCTCCAATCTTCTTCTGATTAATTTCGTTGCGGGTTTCAAGACATTTTTTTTCCTGGGACTTACCGAGTGTCGTAACTCGGTGTGTCCGTAGGTCACTACGGGTGATCCAGGTGCACAGAAGTTACAGTGGAGGGCGTGTGGGAGGGACTAGTCCCATTTAAAAAAAGACCACTGGTTTCTTTGTATCTGGCGTATGCAATCTCTTTCGTGATCATGTTAATTCGCGGTATCGTAATTATATAAAATGAAACGCGTAAATACAAAAGTGTAGTAACTGTATTTTTCACTAAAAAGTTACTCTACGAGTTTTCATTGAACATCGAACAAAATTGAGTACACATAAGGAGCTAAGACTTTTATCACTAGACACCCTTAATGGATTACAGACGTTGCGCTTAAGAACACCTTACCTTCCCGCATAATACACTTGAAGGCGAAACGAAAATAATCTACCCATATTAATGGCAAAGTCCTAATGCAACTTATTA